TTCTTTCTTCCCTCTGCCTCAAACAGCCTTCTTCCCTCTTACCAGAATTTAAATTAGAAATTCAGTCCCTCTCACCAAACCTTGATCTCCAAACTCTAATGGAGGGCTCTCGGGGCCACTATATTTATTTGGAAGTAGTTCAAGGACAGACCGGCTACGGGTGGGTGAGGACGGACGGGGGAAAGCGGCAGCGTGCGGAGCAGTGCCGGGGGGCGGGAGGGGGGCAATGGAAACGGGCCGCAGGGGCTCCTCCCGCTCCCTAGAGAATTTAGGAGTCCGAGATACTTTCAGACATGTCTGCGCTAAAGTTCTAAGACAATGCCTGCTGGCAGACAATAGGGACATTAGATAAAGTGTTAACTTAATGATTTTGCCCATTGAAACTCGTTTGACTGCCTCCAATGAGCACAAGCTGCCAGCTTCTCCCCTAAATGAAACCCGACAGCTGCTATACACAACACGGCGAGAGGGACGGGGATTAGGTTAGGGACTGCGAGAGGGAGGGGTGGCGGAGGGAGGGAAGGTGGGAGCGGGGGAGAGAGGTTAAAGAATAGAAAACTTTTGCGCAATTAATAAGGAGCGCAGCTGAAGGATGCCCCCCCGCACGCCACTGCCTGCGAGCAAACCTCGGCTTTGGAGCTGCAGGTAGGCGCCCGTGAGGAGGGCTGAGGCCAAGGCACGGTTTCTGGGAGTGTGTAATTACAAGCCCTCCTTGTCACCTGCCTATTGGGGCATCAGTGACCCGTCAAAAAGTGTAGCATGGGAATTCGGATATCGCACAATGCAAACGGGGGAAAGCGCCCGACTTCCCTCTCCAGCCCTTAGCATCCACGGGGAGAGAGAGGATCCACACGCACGCACACAAAGGAGGAGGAGGAGGGGCAGGCTGGGGGTGGGGGGAGACACACTGAAGCGGTACGTGCAGCGGTGGTGCATCCCGGTGCCGAGCCCGGCACTGCTGCACTGCCCCGCGCACCCCGTCCCACCGCCGCTCCCCTTCCCGCGGCAGCGGGCCCCGGCCTCGGTCGCGCCCCCGGGCCCGCCGTGTGACCGCCGCCCCCGCGGGGATCCGGGCAGCCACGGGTCCCCGCTTCCCCGGCCGGCCTGCGGTGTGGGGCGGCCGGCTCCTCTGCCAGTGGAGACGAAGAAACTTGTATTAGTTTTCCCCACACAGATTTTAAGTTTGGGAGCCGCTTTGGGGGAAAGAAAAAAATCCTATGCACTATACATGTACATATCCACACCATGTATATAAACATACGGCCCATATATTTCTAACACGTCCCCGTATTCCTGCCATAAATCGCGGGCACCTGGAGCACCTCGCTAAACCCACAAAACCACGTTTCCAGCGGGCGGAGCAGGGTGGCCGGTCTGCTCAGCTCCGTGCCCCCGGCGAGGCGGCGGACGGGGAGGAGGGCACGGCGGAGGGAGCGGCTGGAGCCCCCCGCGTCGCGCGTTTGTGGGGCCGCCCCGTCCCGCCGCCCGCCCGGCCGCGCTCTGCCCACCCCCTCCACCCCTCCAGACCCCCAGCTCTGCCCCGCGGGGGCTGTTATGAGAAAACTTTCTTGCAGGGCAAAATATGAAATAAATAGACGGGTAAGAGGCAGGGCAGGGGGTGGGAAGGAAAAAATGTAAGCTTGACACGGGGTCATGCGATAACTGATTAACTCTGTTTAAAAGCGCTCCCGTTCCCTGAGGTACCGCTTCGTCTCAGAAGTTTTAGCGCTAAGAAAATGGGATTTCTGTTCAGCAGGGAAACCGTTTTGAACATCCCACGACAGGGGGTCCTTGGGGGCTTTTTTTGTGTGTCATAATTGCTTAAAGGATATATGGCAGCCCCGATTACTGTAATTACCATCAGAGGCTGTTGAAAGAAGTTAGTCTGGGCTCGGGGGACGGCGGGATGGGGTCTTGTTACCACCCAGGCAGACATCGCAGCTGACATCGCTGGGCGCCCACCGGCGGGTAGAAAAGCCAAGACGTAGCCCCCTCGCCCGGGAGCCCCTCAGGACCCCCGGGACGAGCGCCCAGGCCCTGGGACAGCTGGTCGGGCTTTTGCAGGCGCTGCCGAGGCCGGCTGGGCTCGGGCCCCGGCGCTGAGGAGACCCATCGTATCCCCATCCCAGTGGGGCTTGACTGAGTCGGGTCTCGGGGTCCCTTTCGGGAGGTCCCCAGGGGTCAAGGGGTCATCAGTGAAAGCGGCGGCGGTGGCCGGGGGGTCGCTCAGCGCCATGGGGCCGGAGGAGCGGTCCAGCCTGGCGGGTTTTCACGTCCGCAAAATGTCTCCGGCAGAAGCTCCGCCGCCCTTTGGGGACAAGACTCCCCGGTGCTTCCTGCCCCTTCCTCATCACTCAGACACCTGCCAGGAGCCCCGACAACGTCCCGGCGCGGCGGCTGCTCACGGGCCCGATCCCGCTCCGGCTGCCTCGCACGACCCGGGCAGCTTGGACAACGCAGTCGGCCAAAGCAGTCCCGGCCGCCGCAGGTTTTTTAGCCCCCGTCCCCTAACTAAGGTCAGTACCTTAGTACCTCGACTGCAATTTTATTTCCTTCCTCGCGGGGCTGGGGCAAAACAGATGCCGCGCTCAGCTCCGCGGGGGAAGAGGACGAACCAGAGAGCCGAAGCGGCGGCAGCTCGGCCGCAGCGCCGGGGGCTCCGCGCCGCCGCCTCCTCCACGCGCGCCCTCCGCGCCGCGGCCCCCGGCTGCCCCCGGCCTCGCCGCCGCGCCCCCTCCCTCCTCCCCGGCTTCCCGGCCCCCGCGGACAAAGGGCGGACTCGGGTCAAAATAATGGAGGGCAGCGGCGAGGAGAAGGCCGCGGGGATGGCGGGGGGCGGCCGGTGGCAGGTACCACGGCGGGAGGGAGATTTGCCTCCCTTGGCCGCCACGCCGCAACCCCAGGAGCCTGTCGGAGCGCAGAGGAAATAGCTGTCCGATCCATCACTTGTCAGACATTAAATTGGATTGGGTATTTTTTCCCCCTTTGTTACTGACTCCATCCATATTACAAACTCCGAAAGTCCCATTGGGATTATACGAATTGAGCCATTCTGTAAGAGCGGTTAGTCATGCTTTAAATTCCCCAGTTATGAGGTGCATGGATTTAGGATTAAGGAAAATGTGACTTTTAAGTTGTTTCTGCTTTCCTCGTTGCAGGATTATTTGTTGTAACTGGGAATGGTGTGCAAAGTATTGATTTAAATCCTCCTTCGACTGAGTTGCTTACGCGATTCCGTGTAATTGAGTGACCGGAGTTTCAAACTCTTAACAAGAAATCATTATGTCGCAGAAGATTGCATAAAGTCCGTGAGAAAACCAGCACGTTTGAACGCCGAAATGCCTTTTAAACCCAAACCTTCCCCCCGTCACCTCTGCGCCGGAGACCCGCACGTAACCGGCCGCGTCCCGGCGGGACCAGCCCCCTCCCCGCCGTCGGCGGAGTCGCCTTCCCGGGTGCTCGCTGCCCACGGGCTTCTGCCCCGGTTCCTAGCCCGGAAAACCGGGGCGTGCAGCTGGAAAACGGCTTTTTGTAAGCCTCAGGCCCAAACTCCATCGGGGCAACCCCGAGCCTATATATTCGTTGCCACTCCGGTTGGAAATATACACTTTTTTTCAATTGGGTGCGGGGTGTGGGGGGGTGCAAACCCAAGCCACAACCCCCCCCTCCCCTTTCTCTCCCTCCCCTCCACCTCCCGCCCCCCAGGCCAGGCTGCAGCCGGCCTCGGAAAGGCTGCTCGAAGCCTCCACCGCGTTATTACCCACTTGTTGATCCCGCCGGCTTGCTCATGCTCGAAGCCCCCGTGAGTCGCTAAACTCGGGGCGAAGTGTCGGCGCCGGGGCGAGGCGGTGCGGCCCCCCCGGGGGCCCCCCTGCTCCGCGGGGCAGGTGCCTCCCTTGGGTGCTCACTGCTGGCTCCGCCGCGGGGGCCGGCACATCCTCGCCGCAGCCCCGCTCCCCCAGCGATGTCCTCCCGAGGGAAGGGGACACGCTGCGGGGACGCGGAAAGGGGGTGGGGGGGAAAAAAGTGGAAAAAAAAAAAAAAAAAAAAAAAAAAAAAAAAAAGGAAAAAAGAAAAAAAACCCAACGAAGTGACCCAAAGTCGGCGGCCGCTGACTGCCCCTCTGCGAGTAGATGCTCTCGGGACCCTGGGAGGGTGCTGGGGGTGCGACTGTGCTCGCCACCGCGCTCCTGGAAGGCAAGCGAGAGCCACAGCAGCCAGGACAACAATGAGGCGAAAGAGAAGGTAGGATAGGGAGCGGGGCTCTGCGCCGAGCGCCTCGGTGCAGCAAGCAGGGAGATCAGAGCCTGGAAAAATAATGGAAGGGGGGAAAAGGCGTCAGAGGAGGCAGTCTCTGCCTCTCAGAAACTGAATGGTATAAAAAGGGAAAGGTTTCCAGAAGTTCATTACACTGGCTGACTTCGCGCTTTGAGCTCCAGGCTTCGGCCCCTATAATATCAGCAGAGAGGCTGTGACAGGCAGCGGCGGGGAGGGGAGAGGGACGCCCCTTGCCCACTGAGCTTCCCTCGCTTTCCCCCCAACTCCTGCCGCCGCGTGACGTCACCCCGCGCTGGCGAGGGGAGGGGGCAGGGAGGGGGTTAAATGCTAATGATATTAATGAACCCCCGAGCGGCTTCCACACAAAATGCAGCGGCTGCCGAGACGATTCCGCCTCCTCACTCGCCTTGTGCCCTCGCTGTCATAAAAAGCGACAACTCTTCACAGCCCCCACCGCAAAAAAAAAAAAAAAAAAAAAAAAAAAAAAAAAAAAAAAACCAAAAACAAACCAACAAAACAAAACAAAAAAAAAACGACCTAAAAACAACAACAACACCAAAAAACACAGCAGGAAACAAAAGGAAAGCAGAAAGAACGGATCAAGATCCCGTTTCTTTTGCATTTTCCCGTGCTGAGGTGGAGCCCGCCTGCGGTTCGCCCCTGCCCTTGCCCTTGCCCCGGCCCGGGCAGCGGCTGTGCTGGCAGCCGGCGGGGTTGGGCGGGGAGCGGGTCGGGGCTGTGAGCCGGGCCGGGCCGAGCCGGGCCGAGCCTCCAGCCTTCCGCCGGACAGCCGTCCTGCCGCGGGAGCCGGAGGCTGGCCCCGGGGAGCAGGGCCGGCCGGCTCCCGGAGGCGCACGGCGGGTCTGCTCCCGCTCCCCGGCACCGGGACTTGTTGCACGGCGGCCGTGCGAGGAGCCCGCCCTCGACCGATGGAGTTGCTCCGACCCCCGGGCACCGCCGCCCTCGCTGCCCTCAGCAGCTCGCCACCCCCGAGCGTCCCAGGAGCGCTGCCAGAGCCGCGGTGCAGCGGGGCGCAGAGGGGCCAGAGGTGGGACCCTTTCTCAACTCCGATTTCACCGAGAGGCTGCCGAGCTCTCCCACTCCCGTTGGGAACGGAGAGATGAGACTGCTAGAGCAGCCGAGGGATGGTGAGAGCTGCGCACTTGGGGAGGAAGGGAAGACTATCTCTCCTGCCGATGCACGCTGGGGCGGGCAACGGCACCGGAGAGCAGGGGCGGCAGGTGCTGTCCCTCGGTCCCTTCTTTCTCATCCCTGTCACTCGTGTGAGGTGTTGATGCTCCACAGCTGACTTGTTGGTTGTGATCCTGGGGGAATGTGGTGTTTAGCCCAGTCTCAAACACACTGTCCCCGTCCTCCTGCACTTCATACTTCATCCTCACATCTTTCTATCTCAGGTTATGGGTGATTCCTCTTGTGCTGATACTGTAAGCGTGTTGTAGGGCTGCACAACTCTGGGCAGCACTGGAATCCCAGTGACTTTCTGCTCTTTGCTCCCTACGAGACCAGTGCGTCCACAACACAGAAGGAAGCCTTGAACCAGGACAAGCCTGGTCCTGCCTAACACTGTGGGACACGGTCCAGATGACTGGGAAGTTGCTCAGGGAGATCTCAAAAAGTAAATAAACTGGTGGATCAGGGAGTGCAGTCAAATTCACTCGAAATCTGCTTCCAGGGCGGCAGGGAAAAGTTCACCTCCTTGAGCAATGTGAAAAGCAACAGGGAAGGAGATGCTGCATTAGCAAGGTCTGAAGGCCAAAAGAAAGAGGATTAAATGGCAGCAGGACCCAAATCTGGCCCCGGGCATCCCCTGCTCTAGAGATGCAGATCTCTGGCCTTATAGCAGCCACAGTTATTTGTGTTGTAAACTTAAAGCCACCTCAAAAACACTGCAAAGGCTGATCAGACCATGTCCATGGGTTTCAGGTGCACCTGAGAGAGGCTGCTCTGAATGCAGACAGGGCTTTACGTCCCATGTACAGCATCAGGCTCTGCCAAGAGAAAAAAAAGAAGAGCTCAAATATCCCACCTCCCCACCCAAAACTCCACTAATATAACCCAGACACCCAAAGCTGGCTCTGCATGCAGGCTCAGGCTGCAGTTGCTGTTGCAAATCATCAGCCCTTCCCTGTTTCCTGGGCTGTGCCTGGCATTGCTTTGTAGACCTGTACCGGCTGAGGTTTGTTCTTTGTCTCTTCAGAGCCTTTCCTGTGGTTTCTGTGATGGACAGAGGTATATCAGCCATGAAAATGAAGGCAAGAGTACTTCCAAGAGTACAGGGAAGAGCTCCCTTCTACCACCTGCAGGTTCTATCAAAGCTGTTTCCAGGGCTATTTGGACAAAAAATATTTCAGCTTCCAAAAGGTGAGAAGTTACACTTCACATTTAGTATTTGTAATGATTAGTATTATTGCCATTTAACATTTACCATTATTGTCCTGGTTTTTGATGGAGTAGTAGTTAATTTTCTTCATAGTAGCTGGCATAGTGCTGTGTTTGGGATTTAGGGTGAGAATAATGTTGATAACACAGTGATGTTTTAGTTGTTGCTGAGCAGTGCTTATACTAAGTCAAGGATTTTTCAGCTTCTCATACTGCCTTGCCAGAGAGTAGGCTGGGGTGTGCAAGAAGATGGGAGGAGATGCTGCTGGGACAACTGCCCCAAACTGGCCATAGGTGTATCCCATATCATACAGCATCATGCTGAACAAAAAAGCTGGGGGGGGATGGTGAGAGGACTGGCTGGGCAGCAGTCAGCTGATGGTGAGTAATTGTCCATCGCTTTTACTGTATACCCTTTTATCATTATATTATATTCCCTTCCTTTTCTGTTTCTTTAAGCTGCCTTTATCTTAGCCCACAAGTTTTACCTTTTATTTTGATTCTCTTCCTCACCCCACTGTGCTGGCAGTAAATGAACAGCTATATGGTGTTTAGCTGTCTGTTGGGTTAAACAGATTTTGTTTATTAAGCAGGCCTACATATACAGAAGATACTAATACAGCAATGAAATTTACTGTCTCCTCGTACTGCCTTGGAAGTACAGATAGTTGTCAATCCTGCAACAGGAAATGGCATGTGTTCCCTTCCAAGTGTATCTCCTTCAGGATCTTGGACTCTGATTACTGTTACATGATGACATTTCTCAGCACTGTGCCATGGTCTCTTGCCAGGTATCTTTTTTTCTCTTGGAGTATTAGCAGCAATAAAAATCCAGTGTGTGACCCATCTTCAAGTACAGCACTCCTTCTGCCTTTATCTTGCTTTTCTCCTCTGGTCTTTGGATGGAGAGCCAAAAGGTCTTCAGTGAATAAAAGCAAAAAAATGAAAAAGTGAGGAAGGTCAGGTGAGGAAAAAAATTAAGATGCCAGAGGTGTGTGGATATGGCAGCAGAATATATGGAAGTGCAGTTTTCATCTGTTCCTCTCAACAGGAAGCAGGTGGGTAAGATCAGGCAAATCTAACATACCTGTTTTCTTGGAAAGATGATAAGGAGGGAAAGGATAGAGCTGTTTCCTCCAGGGAGGAGGAGCTGCTCTTACTTTGAGATACTTGAGATGCTATCTCCACTACCCTCCTTCATGCATGTGCTGGGTGGTATCCAGAGATGTCCCTTGGTGCCCTAGGCAGCCCTATTCAGGGAGCTGAGTACAGCAGCACCCTTGCAGCATAAATACCTCCAGGGTTTAGTTCTTTCAAATCACACCAGAAATCTAAGGTGCCTTCCCTTCTTTGTAGGTCACAGTCCATGTTTTTGTGGCACCCACTATTACAAATCCCTTCTCTATATCCCCCTGAAGGCAGATGGATGAGCAGCATCACTGTGAAAGCTGCTGAAGGGACCATGCTGCTCCTTGGCTGTCCCACCACACTCCTGGTCTGTGACATGGCTGTGCTTGGTGCCCAGCTCGGGCTGCTCCCTGTGTGGAAATGCACTTAACAAGTTCTTTTGGGGTATTGAGTTTTTCTTGAAAAACCCCTGCCCCAAGGATGTGTTCCTGGGAGGGTCCTGCACTATACAACTGGCAGTGGTGGCATTGGCCCTCCTCTTGTCCTTCCTGGGCCATCTCACTGTGCTGGTTTTGGCCAAGGTAAGTAATCTTCTTCACGGGAGCTGGCACAGACCTGTGTTTTGGATTTGTGCTGGAAACAGTGCTGATAACACAACAATGTTTTCATTACTGCCAAGCAGCATTTACACAAAGTCAAGGCCTTTTCAGCCTCTCACCCCATCCCACCAGAGAGGGGGTGGGGGTGTGCGAGGAGCTGGGAGGTGGCACAGCCAGGACAGCTGACCCCAACAGACTAAAGGGATATTCCAAACCATATGGAATCATATAAAGCTGGGGGGGAAGGAGAAAGAGGAGGATGTTTGGAGCGATGGCATTTGCCTTCCCAAGTCACTGTTATGTGTGATGTGGCCGTGCTTTCCTGGGGATGGCTGAACACCTGTCTGCCCATGGGAAGCAGTGAATGAATCCCTTGTTTTGCTTTTCTCACATGCATGGCTTTTGCTTCACCTACTAAACTGTCTTTATCTCAGCCCATGAATTTTCTCAATTTTACTCTTCCCATTCCCTCCTGTGGAATGGGCAAGTGCCTTCGTGGGGCTGAGATGCCGGCTGGGGCTAAACCCCCACCACACCTAATGAAGCTGATCCTGGTGGCTGAGGGTGTTATGTGGCAGGTGTCCTGGAAGCCACCATGGGTGCCCTGGGGCCAGGTGCCTTCCAGG